GATTTTGTAATCAAAGCTCATTCAACCACAACTAGTCATACGATTTGCTGATTCTTATAAATATTTGGCTCTATTTTCAACCAAAAAAGCGATGAATTTTTGTTGTCTGCGACTAATTCTGACATAACCTCTAAAACGGTGACACGAGAGAAGCAAAGCATCTATTTTTCTCCACAGAATTCACATCCCGTTCCCCACCAAAGAATCTCATAGAGTTGGTGGTGACGCAAACCCAGTGTTGGATTTGGGCCACAATTCCTGTCATTCGCTTCTCTATTCTCTTTCGTCAGAAGAATTTTTCCCACTTTTCGCACAAATATTCTCTAACAAAACTATTTGACAAAAACTTTTTGATCGCATAGTTTCGCGATTCACTCCAAGAGTTAGAGTGCCATTGAAAGCCATACAAAGCGCTCGTATCTCTCGTATTGAGTCAAATGCTTGAAAAGTAAAACATTTTTTATTGCGATTGTGACATTGAATTTGTTGCGACAAATTATTGGAAAACTTTTGCTTTTGTGTATCTGTCTGTCAACCCATTTATCGGACTTATATATAATGTATTCATCGAGCAGTTGGTGGCGAAACCCTTCCCCTTCGTGTACACCAAATGAGTTAATAGATATCATAACCAAACCAAACGGTGGCTATTATTTCGTGCCCACAGAGCCATACAATGAGGTCTATCCGCGACTTTATATCAGCGATGGGTTAGTGTTTGAAAAGAATTTCTCATTATTTCTCATGTATTCACAAATCATATCTTTAAACGTATGGATCAGTACGACAGCCATATGTCTGTCACTCCTTCGCCGACTGGGAATAACTCATGTCCTGAACGCCAGTTGTGGTAAAGACAAGTCGTTTTGTTTAGTCAACACTTCGGCAGAATTCTACCGGAGCTCTGAAATAGAGTTCATGGGTGTGGAGGCGCTCGACATCTCTATATTCCCCTTATATAAGCACTTCGGACGGGCAACAGATTTCATTCACGACGGCATCCAATGCGGGGGAAAAGTGTTGGTCCACTGCGGCGAAGGCATCAGTCGATCGGCCACTCTTGTGTTGGCTTATCTCATGATTAGATGCGGATATACGGCTCAGGAAGCGGTGGCACAGGTCCGCAAACATCGCTCTATATTCCCAAACATCGGATTTCTGAGACAATTGTGTGAACTCAACGATCAAATCAACCACAGAAAGACGCGAACCTCACGAGCGGTCAGTAGTGTGTTGTCGCACAAGGATCTGATGGTCACATAATTATGTCTCTATTACTCACACTTTATCTCATTTTAGTATACATTTACTGTATTCTGGTCATATATTTTTAATTAATTTTTAGATGTAAATCATTTACTTAATAATTAGAAACATTCTTAATTTAGTTTTTAATTTACTCTAAGTTATAGTAGTAATACTTTATATTAATTAATACATTATATTCAACTCTTTAAAAAAACTTTTCTATAATTAAATCAAATGTTATTTAATATAAATAGACTTTCATTATACCATAACAACACTTTTTTCTATAAAGAATATTCTGTTTTCTATATAAACATTGAATAACACATATCTTAATCTTTTTTCTAAATTGTCATGTATTTTGAATTTTTCATATAATGAGCATAAATGTCATAACATATAAACCTAATAAGATTCAAGAATATTATGTAAATATGTTATAAATAAACATTCAAAAGACAAACTCTTATCTAATTTGTAAATTTTGATCAAATGCCAGCCCTTTGTTATCGTTATCTTATTTGTCTTTTTGGCTAATATTACTTTCAATTACATAACATTTAATTCAAAAACTAAAACTATTCACTAGAAATCCGTGAGAGCTTACAACAAACCAACATTTGGATGATACAACAATTTTAATACATTAATTAATACATTTACAACTCATCAAGTAAACCAGAATTTTATTAAACAACTAGTGTGTTTTATAATTAAACAAATAATACTAGGGTAATATTGGTCTTTTAATAAATAAATTTTAGTAGACAAATTTTGTGGCAATTTAAATCAATGATATCAAGGTGGTTGGACTCTTGGTATAAGTAATTTATTTAAATGTCTTATTTAAAAGTTGAAATCTGTATCCATTTAAAATAACATTTCGGAATAAAACATTTAAATTTTTGATATAAAATGTATGAAAATGAATAAAATACAATAATTATTAAATAGAAAAATAGTTACATAATTAGGTTTATTGGTTATAATTAGATTTTAAATAAAATTCCAAACTATTAGGTTTTCGATAAAGTTTAAAATTTGTAAAAATTTATTGTGCACTTAATAGTTTGGTTTATTCTTAATAATTAAGTTTTAAGTAAAATTCCATACTATTAGATATACAGTATAATACAATAAATTTGTTTAAAATTTGTGCAAATTTATGATATACCTAATAGTTTGGTTTATTCCTAATAATTAAGGAGTATTTATAATAGTAATTATAAGTATTTATAGTAATAATAACAAGTAAAATTCCATACTACGGTATTAGATTTTTATAAAACATGATAATCAAACTAATATGTCTATTCAAAATATGATATAATGCTAACATTAAAATTTTGCTTAACAAAAATTTGCTACATTTATTGTATTTTATTTTATATTAATAACAAAATATGAAAACTTGATTTCAATGAATAAATGTTTTTAATTAAAAGTATTCATACAATTAATGTATCAGATTTGACTACTAAAATGCGGAATATTGCTAAACTATTTAAGTTATCAAATTTATATTTAAACCTCAACTATGGTTTTTGGTCTTACATATTCTCCCGAAGAGAGTACTAGTTTCTAGCACCGGTAGGTCGGCACAGGTAGGTTATCAGTACAGCAAAAAGTATAAGTCGTAGAGAGACAATCAGCACAGCGTTGGAAAGAAAATGAAAAATGATCGAACACCTCTATCGGGATTTCGCTGGTAATATCCTCATTGAGGGATTGGGAGGTACGGTATGTAAGAATTTTCTATAAATAATTCTTAAATCAAAAATCAGATGTAATCATCAAATAGGGCTCAAAAAATTAATAATATTAACATTTTAAAACTTTCAGATAACTTAAGAAATAACTAACGGTATGTAAGAATTTTCTATAAATAATTCTTAAATCAAAAATCAGATGTAATCATCAAATAGGGCTAAAAAAATTAATAATATTAACATTTTAAAACTTTCAGATAACTTAAGAAATAACTGATCTAGAGCAAGTCAAAGTTCACTATTTTTCACAGGAATTTAATATCAAAAACAAATTAGACGAAATTTAAGAAAATTTAAAATGCTCTTGCTCAGGCATTACTTGAGATATTTTAAAAATTTAAAATTGTATTGTTGGTCATATTTTGAGAGGATTATCATGCTTTAATTAGATTTTTGATTTATGAAAATTTATATAAAATTCCTAAATTCCGTGCCTCCCAGCCCTTCAATGAGGATGTTACCTGCGAAATCCCGATAGAGGTGTTCGATCATTTTTCATGTTCTTTCCAACGATGTGCTGATTGTCTCTCTACGACTTATACTTTTTGTTGTACAGATAACCTACCTGTGCCGACCTACCGGTGCTCTAAAGTAGTACTCTCTTCGGGAGAATATGTAAGATCAAAAACCATAGTTGAGGTTTAAATATAAATTTGATAGTTTAAATAGTTTAGCAATAACCCGCATTTTAGTTGTCAAATCTGATGGACAAAACTTTTTTCGAAATCTGATATTATGTAATATATTATATTAAATTAAATTAAGTCATTAAATCATTTATTGATTTTCGTATGAATGAAATCCCGTGTTATAAATATAAGATTTAAATCTAAAAACTCAGCATAATTTAACATGTGTAATAAATCATTACTAATGATGCAGCAATGTAAACCAGTTACAATATTAAAATTGTAGACAATCATTTATAATGAAATACATACGACTCATACATTTCAATGAATTTTTTGATATACTGTACTGTAGTTTGCGGTAAAAATGAGTGAATTTATTGCGAGTAAAAGCGACGACAAGATAGCGATGCTATGGATGGACATGTCGTTTACAATTAGGTCCACATTTGGTAGGAATGAGACACAAGTGTTAAACGCATTGACCGGTTGTGCAGAGTTTGGGACATTGATGGCAGTGATGGGTCCGTCCGGTGCGGGACTCACAACACTCTTGAAGTGTTTCAATGGACACAACAATTGGGGGTTAAGTGCGGACTCGAGGGTCCGGTTGTCGAGTGTCACCACAATTAGGACCACTTTTATTGGACAAAACGAAAAGGAGTTTTTGATTATGGGTTTGACTGCAAAACAAAACATGATTTACGCCTCAAAGCTCAAGAACTCGAGGGAAGGCGTGGAAATGGATCACGAGATGAATGTGCGGACAGTTAAGGACAAAACGAAAAGGAGTTTTTGATTATGGGTTTGACTGCAAAACAAAACATGATTTACGCCTCAAAGCTCAAGAACTCGAGGGAAGGCGTGGAAATGGATCACGAGATGAATGTGCGGACAGTTATGTCGGATCTGATGCTAACAGACATAATGGACACGAAGGCTGAGAGCTGTAGTGGCGGTGAACTGAAACGACTGGCCATTGCTGTCGAGTTGACGGCTATTCACAAACCAAACCTTATTTTATGTGACGAACCGACCACTGGTTTGGACAGTAATATAGCAGAAGTGGTCAGTAATGGGACAGACATGTGATCGCAATATACCCTAATACTACTGAATGCTAATCCCTTTCCCTATGAACAGGTCATGAATTGTCTAAAAAGTTTGGTCCAAAAGCACGGCATATGTCTCATCACATCCATACATCAGCCAAACTCAGAGATCATTGAATTATGCGATAAATTGTATGTATTGTCAAAAGGAGGGCACTGTATGTATTGGGGTTCACCTGAATTCCTTCCCTACTATTTGAGAAAACTTCAAATCGATTGCACCGAAGATCAGGTGCCCATCGAGTCGTTGATAAAGATCGGCTCCAAAGGCATAACTGATCCAAAAGTGATTGAATTGCGAAATGAGGCCAATGTTCAGGCAAAACGTATCGTCACTGAATTCATTGACCAAACCCATGACATACCGATTGAACACAAAGCAAAAAGTTTTCACTTTAAAGACATTAATCTACTGTTTGGCCGAGAGTTGACTGAATTTTATTCATACAAATGGCGACAAACGCTGTTAAAATCAGTTATGTTTGTAGTAATTGCACTCATTTTTGGGTTATCCAGTAACTCACGTAGTGGACAAACCGTGGACTGTATCCCAAATAACAACATCACAGACTCCCGGAGCTGTATGGAAGTGGTTGACAACGACTTTTATGTCGAACAGAACTTCTATTTCATGTACTTCACGTTCTGGACGTTCAGTTTACTGCAGGTTGTCGTCTCGATTGTCGAGAAAGTCACCAGGCTCAGTATATTTACCATTGAACACCATAATAGTATGAATATATATATTATATCATTTAATGCTACACTTAATGCTACACTTAATGCTACACTTAATGCTACACTTTAGTGCTACACTTAATACTAGCGTAATCATTTTGCTCGTGGTACTTTTAATTATAGATTGGTATAGCTCTGGGGTTTATTATTTAACCGAGACCATTATGGATTTGTTATCGGTTACTATCAATGCTTGTATCAGTGCCACGATTTTGTACAAGCTATGCAATGAGCCAGCACAATTCAAGCGTTATTTCATATATTTGGTTGCCTTTAACCTCAATCTTCACGGTATGGACGCATTCGGCCATTTGGTGGCAATAGTATGGTATGAAATGAAGTACCTGTGCGTTATGATCGGCCTATTATTTGCCACTTTATCCGCAATGCTAAGTAATATATTCATTGAGACAAATGACATGGTATCATTTATGAAGGTTTTAAGCGATATATTGGTTTTTAAATACACTACCAATGCGGTAATCATTGCATTTTACGGGTTGGGTAGGTGTCCCACTCATATGATGTCTAAAACGTTGCTTAGATTAGGTATCGATGATGATCACGTGTCCATTGAGTATATATTATATGTTTTGGCAATTATTGGTGTTATTAAAGTGGTTTCATTCATATTACTTATTATAACCCAGAATTCAATGATTAAGAAAATTTTATATAAATTCCGAAAAACCAATAATAATAATGCAAATGAATCCAAGAGTTTGTTAGAGATTAAGAGACACTATATTAGCTATAAATCAAACACAGAAAATATAGACCAAACTGAGGAAAGAGATCATGGATTAGATCCCATATACCGGTTGGGTATCGCATGGATTGGACTGACATTGAAGGCCAAGAAAACACTGTTTTCGTCGGAAAAAGTGATTCTTTCGGCGATTCAGGGATTCATTGAATTCGGATCTTTCAATGCATTGATGGGTCCGTCCGGTGCGGGAAAGACATCTCTTTTGCGATCTCTCAATGGATTCAATAGAAATCTTATGACCAAAGACTCGCAAATCTGGTTGAGTCGAGACGTAAAGATTAGGACCTGTTTTATAGCTCAGGACCAGAGGGAACACCTAATTAGTGGACTTACTGTCAAACAGTCCATCACTTATGCATCAAAACTGAAGAACGGCTCCAACAGTGATGTCGACCACGAGTTGAATGTCAGGGAACTGATGGAAGAGTTAGCCATAAGTGATATCTCTGTAGTAAATGTGGAAAAGTGTAGTTCCGGTCAACAGAAACGTATAGTAATGGCTCAGGAGATGAGCCCAAGAGTCAAACCAAACCTCATATGTGTTGACGAACCGACTTCTGGAGTGGACTCCTATTCCGCTCTTTTGATGATTCAGTGCTTCAAACGGTTGTCCCGAAGACACGGCCTATCGATCATCGCATCCATACATCAGCCAAACCTCGAAATTGTAATGAGTTTTGATTTGTTGTATATATTAGCCAAAGGGGGACAGACTGTCTACTCGGGTCGACCCCGGGATCTGAAACAGCATTTGACTGATTGTCATATTATTTGCACCGAAAATCAAATCCCAATCGAAGTGATCATCAAATTATGTGCAAATGGTTTGAGGGATGAGGCGGTGATTGAGTTGTCGGCGAAAACCAATGAAGACATGAATAATACATACCATAAGAGAGTGAATAATGAACTCATACTTCAATCAAATGGTATTCCAATGGAAAGAAAAAGCTTTTCATTCGCAGAGTTTTGGTATCTATTGCTTCGAGGGTTGGCCTATACTTTGGGACACAACTGGAAATTCATAGCCGTTCACATCATTTGTTATACCGGTTTGGGTTTGTTCATGACATTCCTGTTCAGCTACCAATTGGACAGACCTTCCAGTTGTCAACCATTGGTCTCAAACAATTGCAATCAAAGTGCCGGCGCTCTCGAGGAATACAAAATCTTAGGCAAAAATCTGGTTTACATCAATATATATGCATTCATAATAATGGTCCTTCAGATTATCTACACTTCACTTACCATTTCCAATGAGATCCAAGTCTTTGACAAAGAACACCGCAATTGTAAGTCTTATCTCACATACTGTTCCCATCAATGCTAATACATGGATATCTCATAGACTGGTACAGCACTGAATCGTATTTTCTGGTCACAACTATCTTGGACTTCGTGCCATCGATGGTCTCTATAGTTATCTATTGTCTAATCATTAATGTCTACGAAATGGAGGGCACATACGCTGTCCTATTATACTGCCTGTCCATCAGTGCCCTCTCCTACCAAAGTATTGGCCATATATTAGGCATTTGTTTCGGTGAAAGGGCTGTCATTATATCCGTACTCTTACTGCCGATTTTCATATGTCTGAGCGGGTTCTTCATACCCTCCACAGAGTTTGGACATCCGGTGATTGAGTTATCGCATGTAGTTCCCATGAGATACACCATAGAAGTGATACTCATATTCTTCTACGGCTTCGACCGGTGCCCTGAAGGACAGGTATCTTCAATAATGCATAAGTTTCTATATACTGACGATATGTATGACAAGAGCCGCAATATACTTGTCTACCAATTGATCTGTTATCGGATCCTATCGTATGTGTGTCTTAAGCTTAAAGCCAATTGGACTTCAATACAGATAATGATTGATTGGTTCAGGTCTGTGGGCACCGGTATATCTGTCTATGCATTTAGAAAGGCTAGAGAGACGGGAGATATACAGCTCCGACCAAAATACACCCAATTTCATAATAATTAGGTGTCAATCATAGCTATAATAATGTCCTAACAGTGACCATCCATTTCCGACTTATTTTATTTTTATTTATAGCTGTCATCGAGAATCTATTTATAGATTATTTTATTTACCCGGCACACCCCAAAATATATTTCTATCAAAATATAATTTTCATGATTATATTTGGGATACTGTATACCAGACCTGTCTAAGGAGTCAAATTGGGAGTCAAACTCTTACACGTTTTTAATATCCTTCAAAGTTTAGGCTCACAAATATAGTACACATTAGTATGAGTGAGAGATATAAAATATTAACTGGAAATTATAAACTGTAATATTGAAATAAAGTATTTATTTTAGTGTTTATATGTTTTATATATTGACTAACTCATAGAAATAAAAATGATTAGACTTCATTAGTAGAATTCTTGAATATTTTTTAAACTCTAAACCTATACTAAAAATAAATATAGAAATGTCTAGAAATTGCACATTTCCAGGTAACTTTGAATACTATAAAAATAGTAATGATATTTGTGTTTGTTAAGAGATTTATCAACTGATAATCTATATGAAATATATAAATTATGTGCCTTATATTTTGTGTTTTTTAATATTTTAGACAGCACTGCTGTATACTGTATTTTATAAAAGTTGTGTAGCAGTAATAAATGTTAATTATTTGTTGCATTTAACGGAGATTTTTATAAATGAATATAATTCATAACATGTTTATAATAGTAATTAAATTTAAATTTAAACATCAATCTAAGTATTAATTACCGGTAGTAAAAATACGAATAAATTAATATTTAATTTATTTCTGTTTATTTTTTGTTTTATGTAATTTTGTTTAAATGATATCAATGTTTAATACTCATTGAAAACTTCACACGATTTTCTAATTAAAGATTTTCATTGATTAACGAGTTAATGGGACACTGTCTGCCATCAAATATATAAATTATTAGTTAATTAATGATTTATGTGCTTGAGTATTTATGACTTTTATGAGGGCTATGTTGCCATCTATAGCCACACCATCTATAGTGCTTTGGCACCTTTTCATATATAGTACTCAATATGTTTATGGGATGAGAAGGTATTTTGGAAAAACAGAGCTTTTATGAAGGCTTTTGAGAGAATTGTGTGAAAAGCATCAATTAGAAAATCCTATGCTATTTATAATGGGAGTTTAACATTGATTTAATTTTACGAGTTTGGCATATATTGTATGAAAAGCCTAATTTTATTTAATAAGCTTGTGCTTTTCATAATCTCGAAATTAAATTATTTTAATATTTACAAAAGTTAATTATTAAGACACTCGACAACCGGACCCTCGAGTCCGCACTTAACCCCCAATTGTTGTGTCCATTGAAACACTTCAAGAGTGTTGTGAGTCCCGCACCGGACGGACCCATCACTGCCATCAATGACCCAAACTCTGCACAACCGGTCAATGCGTTCAACACTTGTGTCCCATTCCTACCAAATGTGGACCTAATTGCAAACGACATGTCCATCCATAGTATCGCTATCCTGTCGTCGCTATTACTCGCAATATATTCACTCATTTTGACCGCAAACTACAGTACAGTATATGAAACAATTCATTGAAATGTATAAGTCGTATGTATTTCATTATAAATGATTGTCTACAATTTTAATATTGTAACTGGTTTACATTGCTGCATCATTAGTAATGATTGATTACACATGTTAAATGATGCTGAGTTTTTAGATTTAAATCTTATATTTATAACACAGAGTTTTCATTCATACGAAAATCAATAAATGATTTAATGACTTAATTTAATTTAATATAATATATTACATAATATAAATGAATTTATAAATATATGCTCATAAATTGTTTTTAATTGGTACTCTACTGTACTGTACATTGGTATTAAACCAAATAGGAATTTCCATTAAAGTTAGTATCAGGATATTACTTACATTACGTATAGTAGTTAATGATTGTATATTATGCCTTATGTAGATTAATAAAGCTAGATAACTATACTTGACATTATATTTACATTTAATACAAAGACACATCATTTTAAAAATGAAATCATTATACCATAATTTTAATAGATTTCTTACTTTCATTTTTCTAAGCTTTTATAAGTTTAGACAATAATTTATGATATAAATAAATAACCAGTGCCAAATTTCACTAACCAGTAAATCGAGTTTACCAAAGTTTTATTTAATGTATTATCCACATAGCACAATATACCAGTACAGTTGCAAATGCAGTAATGTATTATAATAAGCAATTCTTTTAAATATAATATTTAAAACTAATTTTATATTACAGTCAATTTCCAAGAATATTAATTATCATTACCATGGTCATGTAAATATAATTTCTGATAATGTAAATACATGAATGCTTTCTGGGAATAAATGTGTGTTTATTTGCAACATTTACAAACATATGTATAAAATTTACTAATTATTATATTGAGTTTGAATGCATACACAATTTTTAAAACTTATATTCAGGTTTTAGAAATGTTCAAATGATTTAACCTTAATTGTTACCAAATTTAACCCAGAGCAATTCCGAGAGCAACATTTACTAATACATGTTTCCACCACTTATAATACTTGGATTTGTGTCCACTTTTGTCCCGTATATCACTGCCNAAATGATTTAACCTTAATTGTTACCAAATTTAACCCAGAGCAATTCCGAGAGCAACATTTACTAATACATGTTTCCACCACTTATAATACTTGGATTTGTGTCCACTTTTGTCCCGTATATCACTGCCTATGATCTCGTAATTAATAAGCTGTCCGTTCGAGTCAACCACCGCTTTGAGGGTCAATAATATGCTCACAGTTTCCGTCTCATTGAAAACCGTTATATTTGCGGCATTTTGTCCCGTATATCACTGCCTATGATCTCGTAATTAATAAGCTGTCCGTTCGAGTCAACCACCGCTTTGAGGGTCAATAATATGCTCACAGTTTCCGTCTCATTGAAAACCGTTATATTTGCGGCGCCGGTATATGCCGTACAGTTATACACCCCTTCCTGTCATTCATTTTTATTAATTTTAATTATGATAAAAAATAATACAGTAATACCTGGCTAGTATGCGTGCAGTTATCATTGCGTACGAGTCTATCCAATAGCGTGATATATGAGTTGGGAATGGTAGGTATGTCCAGACGTTTGTTTTGATTTATTTGCTCATTTTGCTGGTCAACCAATTTGTTAACCACTAATCCATGACAATATGTTTTTACAATTAGTTTTATGTTGAAGTATATAATCTAAGTTACTTACCATTAATGCCAGTGTCACCACAATTAGCCGTTATTAATACAGATATACAAACTGCTACCACAAACAGTTTCATAATTAATTGTTAAATAGTAGCTAGATGATTTGAAATAATAAAATATATATTCAATTTATTTTGTATGATTACGACAAACCTACGGAAATATATGATTTATAAAAGAAACAAAATTTATTCCTTTATTCCTAAAATAAACAATTATTTTAATAACATTGTTATCAATCCTTATAACACAATAGCCAATTAGATCCTTGTTTTGTAAAATGTAATTTATTACAAATATAAATATTGACATAAGGGTGCAATCTTACTACATCGTAAAAATAGAAATTATATTATTTATAAATTTAATTGTATTACACTTATATTATTGCATTGTACTAAAATAGGAGTTGTAATACCTTGGCAAATAAAGTATATCAAATGTTATACAGTTCACTGTTGAAATAAACTTTGTAAAGCTACTTAATTATAAAGATTATTTATTTCATTTATTGAATGTCACTTATTTCTATAAATAGCTAACGTAAATAAAGTTCATTGTTAATATAAAATTTAGATAGTATTAATTTTTAATTAATTCATAGTAGTTTACATAAATAATTTATATTTAAACTTATTTTCATAATTAAAAAGATTCATTAATTTTAATATGTTGTTAATTAAATAAATTTTTAATTTACCATTTTTATAATTAACATTTATATGTAATCTATTACAGTAGCTTAAATGATCTATTACTGTATTATATAAATTAAAAATAATTTTTTAATTTTGAGTATATAATAAAAATTTAAGTACGCTTACTTGTTAGCCAAAACTATTTACAACACATTATATTAAAATTTATCATGAGCATTACATTTTTGAATAACTTAATAAAAAACTCTATAAATTAATAATTAAAATAAAAATGTCGGAAAAATCATATAATTTCTGAATACTACACACAAAACTAAATAATCATCAAAAATATCCATTAATATTAAGTAAATATAATTAAGCTTTTTTGGTGAACACATAGTGACAAATGTTTTTTTGGCAAATAGTTTAAAAGTACAAACATTTAGGCAATTATGATATATTTAAATAATAAATGCATTGCTTTTCTCCGCAAATGTTATATAAATTATTTCGCAATATATTTAACAAATAAAATCATAATAACGGGCAAAATAAGTAAATATTTTGCGGCCATCGAGTCGGTCGT